TTTATTGAAGACTCTTGTTGGCATATGGAAGATGCAAGGAGGGGAGAGGGAGGAGGAGAGGTTATCGGTTGTAAGGGGAATCCCCCTCCATAAGGACTTCAGGTATCAAGCCCCTATCCGGGGTTACTTCCCTTTGTCTTTTACTGGCACTGAACCCCTGTCGCATAAAAAATCTATCCAGACCGGGCTGTTTCTGTTGTCTCTAAGATTTGCCTAAAATGGGACATGGCATTGTCATTGAACATGTTGCAGAAATGGCTTGCAACAGCTTTGTTAGGGTGATATTTCTCCACAAAACTTTGCAACTCACTTCACTTTGCACACGTCCTTAATCACTGAGGAAGGCACTTTCTCCCCTCTCTTTTCCCCCTCCTCTGAAGCAATTTCCTCAGCTGCGATCTGTTGCTGTTCCAGTTGAAGATGTTGCAGCTCTTCAGTGGTTAGCTCTTCTTTGTGGTCTTCCACCAACTTTTCCACATCCTGGCCACTCACATCCAACCCAATGGACTTCCCCAAAGCCACAATAGATTCCACAACAGGCGTAGGGTTGTCAGGGTCATCCTCAAACCCTTCAAAATCCTTCTCTTTGACACATTCTGGCCACAATTTTTTCCAAGCAGAGTTCATTGTCCTGGAAGTCACTTCCTGCCAAGCCTTATCTATAAGGCTTATGTAATTGAGGATATTGAAGTGATTCCTCCAGAACTCACTTAGGGTCAATTCAGTGTCTGAGGTCACTTCAAAGCACCTTTGAAACATTGCTTTGGTGTAGAGTTTTTTGAAGTTTGAAATGACCTGCTGGTCCATGGGTTGGGTGAGAGGAGTGGTATTAGGGGGCAAGAACTTCACTGTGATGAAACTAAACTCCTTCAAGTCTGGAGGATGAGCAGGAGCATTGTCCATTACCAGGAGGCACTTGAGTTGCAATTTATTTTTCCAGGAGGTGTTTCTTCACACTTGGGCCATACACTTCATTGACCCACTCAATGAATATTTGCCTTGTGACCCATGCCTTATTGTTAGCCTTCCACATCACACACAGTTTACTCTTGATGACATTGTTTTTCTTGAACACTTGGGGATTTTCAGAATGATACACCAGTAAATGCTTCACTTTGAAATCTGCACTAGCGTTACCATAGAACCACAGAGTTAGCCTATCCTTCGTAGGCTTGTGTCCTGGCAGTGCCTTTTCCTCCTGCATGATGTAGGTCCTCTTCGGCATTTTCTTCCAAAAAAGGCCTGTTTCATCACAATTGAAGTCTTGTTGGGGGAGGAATCCTTCAGCCTTTACGTACTCCTTGAATTCATCAATGAATTCTTCTGCGGAACTTGCAGCCTCGCCTTACCTTAACACACTGTGTACTAGATCGCTTCTTGAAGTTGTCGAACCAGCCTCTGCTGGCCTTAAATTCACTAACAGCAGCAATTGCTCCAGGCACATTCTTTACGAGATCCGCATGCATCTGCCATGCCTTTTCGCAAATTATCACCTTCACAGCACGATCTCTCGCTAACTTTTTCCACACCAACAACAGCTTCTCAACATCTTCGATTGTTTGTGATCTCTGTTTCGTTAGCACACTTACCCCTCTTGCAACATCAGATACCTTGATTTCTTTTTTCTTCACCAGGATGGAACTGATCATTGATGAGGACTTCCCTTACATCCTGGCGAGATCAACCACGCGTACGCCACTTTCGTACTTTTCTACAAGTTCTTTCTTGAATTCGACCATGTTTCTCACCTTCTTTATCAAAGGATTGGCACTCAGAACTTTGTTTGGCCCCATGATGGCTTATTTAGCAGTCGCACTCAATAAACAATCACAAAAAACTATCGATTATTACGAAATGTTTCATGTGAATGCGCAGGGTAATGTTCACTCAACAAGAAACAAAGCCAGACTGACTCAGAATGCATGCGTGGGATGCTTTTTGTGGGCGCGAGCATGGGTGCACAGACATTTTTTATGGCGGACCAACGAAAACCAAGGTGATGAACGAAAACTGGGATAAAATTTTGACGAAAAATGTCATCGAAAACCAAATTCGACGAAAACCTGGGCAAAAGAAAACTGAGGTTCCACTGTACTGGCTCTTTTTTGGAAGCTTCAAGAATCCAACCTTATTTTTCCCATATGTTCTTCCCACCGTAAGTTGTGATTTGATAAGTAGCACCAGTTTCTAGGAATCTAACCTCTGTGAATTATGGGAGTCTACTATATAGAGTCTTCACAAAAAAATCTTTTCCAGTTAATATGAAAATAAGTTTACCAGTGATAAAGCAGCAACCAATATTACACATTTCCAGCATATGTCTGATGCCATGTGTCTGGCATCACTCCAGCTTGGAAACGTGTCACAGTACAGAGCATGAAAGAAGGGGATGTTATCACATTTACATTTCACCACATCTATTTTTTTCTTCGTCTGTAGTAATTCCAGTCAATCACACTGGGTTGGTATAACATTTGTATGTGAGGATAAGACTTGTGTCATCACTCCTGTGGACCAGGGAGTCCCATTGAAGGATACTGAAGACCAGCTGGAATGCACCCCACAGTTTATTGAACCTCAACAAAGCTGCAAGAAACTTGCATCATGGCACCATTCCCATTAGAAAAAAGGAGTCTGGGAGGCCCCTGGAGACCACCCCCCATGTAATGATGTCCTTCAGAACGGGAAAGTTATGCTAAAATCTTACAAGTGCTGCTCAGGAAGTAAAGAACAAGTATTCTGATGTCCTGGGTGTACACACACTGTAACATTGCCTGCTAAAGTATCTGAGAATGACATGTCAAAGGATTTCCAAGAAACCCTTTATCACTGAGAGCATGCACTTAACTTGCTTTGTGAGACAAGCGCAAGAATTAGACCAAGGGTGATTTGGAGGAATGTCATGTTTAATGATGAATCAACTTACTGAGTCTTCAGATATGTCTCTAAGAGAGTTTATCATTCAAAATCCTTGTCAGTTATAGTTTGGAGGTGTTTCAGCATTAAAAGTGACCATGGTCATCTTTATGTCCTTCCCAAGGGCGAGATGATGAATGGGCAGAAATATTTACATGTCCTTGATGAAAAACCTCTCACTTGTAACCATATTCATGGTACCAACCCATTAATGCATGATGGAGCCCTCCTGTTACCACAGCTAAAAGGTCAATGATTGGTTGTGACGACACAAAATCCCTGCTTTATGGGGCCATGTAGTAGCCCAGATCTTAACACAATCAAAAATACTTGGCAGGCAGTGATATTCGAAGTAGCTGACTTATTTCTAGAAACTAAATAATTCTGTAACAGAATGCTAAAGGTCAGATGCCTAAATATTGGTGTTTTGTATGTTTGAAGATCCCAAATAAAGTTTATTAACCCTTTCAGGGTTTCGGCAGTATTAGTATGACTTAGGCCCCAGGGTTTTTGACGTACTAGTACGCCTAAATTCTAGCGCCCTCAAATCTAGTGGGAGAAAGCTGGTAGGCCTACATATGAAAGAATGGGTCTATGTGGTCAGTGTGCACAGTATAAAAAATCCTGCAGCACACAGTGCGTAATGAGGAAAAAAAACTTTTACCGTGTTTTTGGATTAAAACAGCTACTTTGCACTGTATTTTCGTATGGTATTTATTGTTGTATTCTAGTTTTCCTAGTCTCATTTTATAGAATGGAAGACATATTACAGAAATTGAAAGGATTTTGACTGGTTTTACAGTGAAAAGTACCTTGAAATTGAGTTCAAAGTAGCAGAAATGTTCGATTTTTGCCAAAGTTCAAAAGTAAACAAATCATGCCAAGCGTCCAATACACTTCAAGTGGTGAGTCTAATATTCTTTCACAAGTGCGCTGATATTATTTATACCATTTCTACACTAATGCAGTAGTCTGCATAACAGTAAATCTTCTATTTTTTGTAAGAATAAAAATTCAAAATAGAAAGCCAAAGAAATGTAAGAGGGGCCTGGGGATGTGACTAACGAACAGAGAAAATGTTATTTTAGTGCCAGGAATGTCTTTCTTGTTTATTCTGGACCCTATTTGGAAATTGGCATCTTTTGAAATTTGTGTGAAATTGGCAAAATTGCTAAATTCTGACCACTGTATTGGTAGTTAAAATTTGGGTTTAAATGAGTGGGGTTTCTTGTGCTTTATTCGATAGAAAAAATGGAGTTCTAGCGAAATAGTTATGATTTTTGTCAACTAGTACACTGGAATTGACCGAAAATAGGGTTCAAAGTGGCCAAAATCGCCGATGTATAAACATTGTCGAGACCGCTAACTTCGCGAGAGCATAATTTTGTAATTTTTCCATCAAATTTCATATTTTTGGTGTCATTATGATCGGGAAAAGATTCTCTATCTTTTTATAAGATTTTTTTTTTTTTTTTTTTTTTTTTTTAAATTTGGGGGACCCTGAGAACAAGTCTCTGAGAGGGCCTGCAGCGCTGCATAGCCCTTGTGGCTTAGCACTTCTTTTTGATTATAATAATAATAATCTGAGAGGGCCTGTGGACCCTGAAAGGGTTAAACTGTGTTTTATTCAGCAAACCAATTTTTTGCAGCAAAGATATCTTTGCGGAGACTGTATAATATGATTGCTGTTTTTTTTTCGGAAAATGCTAAATTAGAAAGGTTGTACAGGATACGGTAATGTTAACAAGATGTGGAAGAAGGCACATACATACAGTTATAACATTTATTAAAGGGAGCATTGGGTCTTCATAGTGAACATTTCCTTTAATAAATATCATAACTGTGTTTTTGTATTCTTCCATAAACTGGAAAACTTTAATCTGACACACGAGTATAGAAGATATTTCTTTTGGCTGGTGGGTTTTGCATGTGTTTGGCTTTGTCATAGAAATTCTTAAACAATCTTACTAGTATTGCATGTCAAAATTTGAAGTTGACTTTCTTAATTACATCAAACTTTGTGAAGAGAATAATTGGCTGCATTACTTCATTTATTATGACAACTTATCCTATCATTTCAACAGCAATTATGGGCTAGTGTCTTCTTGCGGTGGGTGGTGGACCAGGGACCCCAGGAGGCAGCATGGTCTGTAGTACGAGAATTGAGGGAGCGGGACTCATCTCTTCGATCTCGAGTAGCCCGCCTTAGAAGGCAGTTGCAAGATCTGGAGCGAGAGGCAGTTGAAGTTGGATTACTTTCACCAGCCACAGAGGTGCAAGTGATGTGAACCATTGTCAAGTTTCATTCAGGTTTTTCATGAGAATAGTTAGGGTTTTTACACACCACCTTATACTACACACACCATATTATATGGCACATACCACCTTATACTACACTCATCCCCTTACACCACACACACCACCTTATACCACACACACTCCCTTATTCTATACACACTCCCTTATTCTATACACAGCACCTTATGCTACACTCTGCACCCTATAGTACACACAACACCTTATACTACACACCTTATACTACCCTCACCTTATGCTACACAAAACTTTATGCACACAACACCTTATACTACACTCACTGCCTTATAGTACACACAACACCTTATACTACACAGCACCTTATACTACATAAAACACCTTATACTACATTCACCATGTACTACACCCACCATCTCATACTACACTTGCCACCTTATACTCAACATAGCACCTTATACTACACTCACCAGCTTATTATACAGCATGCACCACCTCATACTGCACACGTCTTATACAACACTGCCTTATACTGCACACACCTTATACATGCACCACATGATACTACACTCACCTTATACTACACACACCTTATAGTACACTCACAACACCTCATACTACACATACCATTTTATACTGCACACACTACCTTATATTACACACACACCCTTATACTACATACATACTACATACACCACCTTATGCTACACACTACCTTATACTATACACAACACCTTATACTACACACACCTTATACTACATACAACACCTTATACTACACCTACCACCTTATGCTACACTTGCCACTGTATACTCATTATAACACCTTATACTACACTGACCACCTCATACTTCACTCGCCACCATACGCTACACTCATTGCCTTATACTACACACTGTTTTACACTATACACACCACCTTATATGACACACAGCACCTTATACTACACACAACACCTTATACCACACATATTTTACTACACACAACACCTTATACCACACACATTTTACTGCACACACACCACCTTATACAACACCTAATACTACACAGTACCATATACTACACTTGCCACCTTATACTACACACACACACACCACCCTGTACTACACACACCTTGTTCTACACAGCACCTTATACTGATGTCACCACCTTATACTACACACACACACACACCACCCTGTACTACACAGCACCTTATACTGATGTCACCACCTTATACTACACACACACACACACCACCCTGTACTACACAGCACCTTGTTCTACACAGCACCTTATACTGATGTCACCACCTTATACTACACACACACACCACCCCGTACTACACAGCACCTTATACTGATGTCACCACCTTATACTACACACACACACCACCCTGTACTACACAGCACCTTATACTGATCTCACCACCTTATACTAAAACACACACACCACCCCGTACTACACAGCACCTTATACTGATGTCACCACCTTATACTACACACACACACCACCCCGTACTACACAGCACCTTATACTGATCTCACCACCTTATACTACACTCACCACGTTATACTGCACATATATTATACAACACTGCCTTATGCTATGCACACCACCTGATATTACACTCACCTTGTACTACACACCTTATACTACATAACACCTTTAACCCGTAAACAGTCCAAACGCATATATACATTTTTTCAACATTTGAAAGTATGTAAAAAAAGTAGATTTTTTTTTTTACATTTGAAAATGTAAAAAAAACTTTGATTTACTTTTTTTTGTGTTATATTTGAAAATATGTAAAAAAAAAACTAGATCTACTTTTGGAGCACTACACATGTGAACGTAGATCTGCCTGGACCGTTTACGGGTTAAAAATGATATACAAACAAGTACTGTAGTCAATATGACTTACAAAAATCATTTTGAGGTGATGATAAACATTTCACCAAAAAGAGGGATTGAATCTATGGCAAACTAGTGGTAAAACTAGCAGGCCAGTGTGTTATCCAGTCTACCAGGAAGACCTAATAAGATTGTTACAACTAGATATATTTACATACACCATAGGAAGGTGTATTGAAATACTGTCTGATTGAGAGAATCTTATTAGTTCATCAGGGTACAGTAGATAACACAGTTCTCTGCCAGTTTTAGCGCTGGAGTTGCCATGGGTTCAAACCTTACATTCAATGTAAGAAATAGTGTAGTCTTCTAGGTCTTTTCCTGAGTTTCCTGTAAATCACAGTTACTCACACTAGTGAGGAAATACTAAGGAGCTAGAATGGTTTATTGCCTTATGAAAATTTACATCATGAAAATTCTTAAATCCAACTTTGCTCAGTACAGGCAGCAAAATCCTTCCTTTGAAGTTGTTATTTTAGTATCTACCTTCATTCATGTTCACCAAAGAACAGCGTTGAATAACCTGTATGGGTTTAGCACTTACTTCTAAATATAGTAAGAATAGTCACCAAAGAATAACACTGTCTAAGTAATCATTAATTCTATTTTGTGATAAATTACCAGTCTTTACTTCTGTATACATTTTGTCCATTACTTGAATTTAATGTTTACTTTGCAATGGTTTATACAAGTTTTGTCTACTGTGATATTTGTAGTTTTTATGTAGCATCAATGGAGTACAATTTTTCATAGGGGTGTAATATCCAGGATTTTAATTTGTTTTTTCTTAGTCATTTTTGCTGATGACAAGGTACATGTCATTAGTAATATTAAAATAAGAGATTTATCTAAATTTTCTGAGAGCCTTTTATATTTTATTAACCTAATAATTTAATATAAACTATAAATGAAAAATATATTGTGACCTATTTTCATTTCAGTTCTACTTATGTTAATGGTAAATAAAAAATGCTGCAAAAATTCACGTAACAGCACTTGGTAAATTTATTGGATATATGTACTGTAGAAACCTTTGAAATAACATTGCTGATTCTTATGCCCATAGAACACTGTCCATAGGATATTGTCTATAGGACTCAAGCAAAATTTGTGTGCTTTCATTAATAACAAAGGTATATACATGTAGTAGTTAAATGCTCTAAGGATGTGAATATATTTTATTATAATAGTATGATTTTACTTGTGTACATAGTTAATATCACTCCTTAAGTATTGAATACAGCTGATTACATATTAGAAAAGCAACTTATGTATTATTTGTAATATGGCAGGATTAATGTGTGCTCTTATTGGCTTTAGTAAAGTACACAGAATCACTGCATAAATAAACATTCCATGTCTAATAAAAACTATATGTTCATCTAGTCAAATAGATTTTTTTTATCCTTGTCAAAACAGTATACAGGTCTCCCTCAACATTCGTGTTTTCAACTTTTGTGGGATTCACACATCCGCAAATTCCCAGCCGCCAAATCATATTTAAGTTTCTCACCACCCGCGAGTCCCTACTACCCTCCCTCTGACCCCCACAAATGGCAGCCAGCCATCCCACCACTCAGTGTGGTGAGTGTTTTGTTTGTTCATTATTTGCTATTAAACTACAGTATAAATAATGTCAACCCATTCATTGGAATGGCTATTCGGACAGGTGTTGGATGGTGATATCATGTGTTTACTCTTGAACACGGCAAAGAATCAAACATTTCTGCTACTGCTAATAATAATAATAATAATAATAATAATAATAATACGATAGAATTGAAGGAAATTGTACAAAAATACGAGGGTTGAAGCAGTGGTGGAAGAAGTGGTTGACACATCGTCAGTCAGTGCCTTTGTTTATGCTGGAGTGAGCATTAGTCTCCACACTCTTCCAAACATTTCACAATAATTCATTGTGTCTGGTGCTTGTTGATTGAGTGCATCTGGAGTGGTTGAGGCAGTGGTATTTAATAAGATACATGTTAGTAATAATAATACATGTTATTATTAATAACATTTGTTATTATTATTATTAACATGTTATTAAAAACCACTCCCTCAACCGCTGCCTCTACCACTGCCACTGCCTCTACCACTGCCTCTACCACTCCAGTCACACTCAATCTACAAGCACCAAACACAAAGAATTATTGTGAAATGTTTGGAAGAGTGTGGAGACTAATGCTCACTCCAGCATAAACAACACCACAGTGACTGACGATGCCTCAACCACTTCTTCCACCACTGCTTCAACCCTCGTATTTTTGTACTATTTCCTTCTTCAATTCTATTGTATTAATAATACGATAGAATTGAAGAAGGAAATTGTCCAAAAATATGAGGGTTGAAGCAGTGGTGGAGGAAGGGGTTGAGGCATTGTCAGTCAGAGCCTTTGTTTATGCTGGAGTGAGCATTAGTCTCCATGCTCTTCCAAATATTTCACAATAATTCATTGTGTTTGGTGCTTGTAGATTGAGTGTGACTGCCACATAATTAACCATGGGCCCAAAGAAACTTGCTAGTGCCAGCTCTTTGGTAAAGAAATTGAGAAACATGATAGAATTAAAGAAATTGTATCACAATACGAGCAGTGCGCCGCAGTGGTTGAGGCACTGGTTTAGGCACTGGTGGAGGCAGTGGTTGAGGCAGTGGTATTTAACCCTTAAACTGTCCAAACGTAGATCTACATTTTTTCAACATTTGAAAGTATGTAAAAAAGTAGATCTTCTTTTCTTTTTTTACATTTGAAAAAATGTAAAAAGAACTTTGATATACGTTTTTTTTTTTTGTTATATTTGAAAATATGTAAAAAACATAGATCTACTTTTGGAGCACTACGCATGTGAACGTAGATCTGCTTGGACAGTTTAAGGGTTAATAACATTCATGTTATTAAACCACAACATGTATGTATTTAGTACAATATTTTACGACATTTTCATGTATTTTATGAACATTTGCGAGGCTCTTAATCCCCTAACCCTCGCAAATGTTGAGGGAGACCTGTAATATTATGAAATCATTTTTGGAGTCAGTAGCCTATTGTCTTCTGTGGTATCAAAGCCATAGTATAATTCTTTCAACACACTGGCTGTATCCCACTGAGGCAGGGTCGCCCAAAAGAAAAAACAAAAGTTTCTCCTTTCACATTTAGTAATATATACAGGAGAAGGGGTTACTAGCCCATAGCTCCCAACATTTTAGTCACCGCTTACGACATGCATGGCTTACAGAGGAAGAATTCTGTTCCACTTCCCCATGGAGAATAGTATAAATATAATAAAATAATTTTCATATGTAATAGGTTGGTAAACAGCAGCCACCCAGGGAGGTACTAATGTCCTGCCAAATATGTAGTAGGTTAGTAGACAGCATCCACCCAGGAAGGTACTAATGTCCTGCCAAATATATAGTAGGTTGGTAGACAGCATCCAACCAGGGAGGTACTAATGTCCTGCCAAATATGTACAGTCCCCATCCCTTTATCCAA